GGGGAGGCGTCTCTGTCCCTGCCTCCGCTTCCCCTCCCGCCGCCCTGCGCCGTCGGGACAGAAGGGGACAGGGCACGGCTGAAGCCGAGGAGGTTCGGGGGAGCCGGCCAGGAGCGGATCTGCTGGGGTTTTAATGATTAACTCCCGCCGGCCGTGTCTCCGGCTGGTGTCAGGGAGCAGCTCCTGGCCCGCCGCGGCAAGGGGAGGCCGCAGGGTCCCCTCGTCCCTACGGGCAGAAGGCGGCCGCGGGGGCTCTCCTCCTTCTCACCAAGAGATTGGTGATGGGTGACCGACTGAGCTTCACAGCTGCCTCCTGACAGCCGCAGGGCCAGTCATGGGACCCTCCTGGACACTATCTGTCACTGTCCGTATTTCCTTAATTCCCAGTGTAACTTTGTGGGTGATGGAACAAAACATCTTCATTTTGTACGTTCATCTGGCAGACGTGTCTTTGCTTTGCTCTGTTTCACCATGCTGACTGTGACATGGCAGGAGAGAATTGCAAGAAGTGGGCCTTGCTTTTTCCAGAGAACAAAATTGTCAGATTGTTGAAATTCAGTCTGATCACTACAACATCTACTGTTTTAATAAATTCTCATTAAAGCAAAATATTAGGTGTTCCAGATAAGGACTGACAAATTGTGGTATGACTTGTGGTAGCTAACAGCCATAACAGAAATGTTATGCTGGATGAATTGTGAAGCTTTCTTCAAGCCATCAAATTGTGCTGGGCTGTCACAAACACAAAGCTCATGAACAGCTGTTTTCTTTCTACTCTCTTCCAGTCTTCTCTTGCACTTCAAGTCATTGACTGCGCCAGTGCTACAAAGCAGCAAAATATGACCACTTCCACTCCTGCACAGATGCATTGTCAGACCAGCTATCATCTATCAACTCCATATTTAACAAAATTCCAGGTGTGCCCATATCTTCTGAAAGGCCCCAAACCTCATAAGAATAAATGATGGACTTCAGACCTCAGGCAGACCTGTGAGAGGGTCTCAGAGTCAAAAATGGCATTTAGCCCAAACTTTCTGTTTTTCTGCTTACACCCCTTCCCTCCACTGTGTAAAATATATTTCTTTCCTGACTGGTTACTCCATTCAACATTTCTTCACTGTTTCCATGTTCCCTTCTTACTTCATTAAGTGATGCTATACATGGCTTTGACCACACGTGCCTGTGTCAGTTCTTACTGTAACTCACCGGGACAGTTCAGCATCTGGTTCCAATGGCTTTGTTCGAGGTTGTAGTAAAATCTTATTTGACCCTCTGACTTTTGGCTGGCCTGAGAACTTCACAATTTGGTCCAACATAACTGGTATTTCCATGGTAGAATTAAACCTCTCAGCTGCTTATTGCTGTGTTGAATCTTTTGTGATCAAAATCCAGTGTGACTTTGAACACGGATATTTTGGTATTATGGAGCTAAATGTAGCTATTTGTTCTTAAAGGGAAAGATTCTTATGGTGCCAGAATATCCTCAGTGACGCTAATGAACTCTATCCATCTTCATCAACATAGGGATTAACTGAGTAAGGGGTCCAGCCTAGGGACCAGGTAGTTTCCACCCTGTAGCAACCATTTGTAATCCTGCAGAAGCAAAGGAGAGATACCAAAAGCTATGGCAGGTGGACAATCCTTCCCCACATTTAAGCTCCCTCTTGCTGGGGTCAACAGTCCACTCAAATGTATCATTTCAGCTTTTGGGAGACAGAAGGGATGGGGCAGGTATTGAAATGGGCTAGCTGAAACCACAAGGACATTACAGCATTGCTTGTGCCTAGAAATCTTTAATACCATTCTGGGATGTGTCTGTTGAGAATCATGGTCCTAACCATATTGCTTATCACTGAATAAAATCTAATTATGAAGTAGAACTGCAAAAACATATATCCATGTATATTTGGTTTTTTTAGAATTTCCCCATTCAAAAATTGTGCGCACACACAGACCTATACACATATATGCACAAAGATGAATGTCAAGGTGGGTGCATTCGTCCTCCTTGGAAACACTCAAAGTAAGGCTGGATGTGATGGGGTTCTGAGCAACCTGATGTAGTTGGAGATGTCCCTGCACTTTGCAGGAGGATTGAACTACATAAGCTTCAAAAGTCCCTTCCACCTCAAACTGATCTATGATTCTATAATTTGCACTTGAAGCATGCAACACCTCTTGCCTAACTTTGTCTCAGTTAGTTTTCTTAGTTGGATCTGTTGACTCAGTTTCCCTTTAGAATCAGTGGAGAAGAAAAGGTGTCTTCAAGAGGTAATTCATACCAGGCACATTACCCAGTGAAACAGAGGTAGTTCTCATAAATCTGTTTCCCTTCTAGGCCTGTACTGAGAGCCTAGGAAGCTTTGCTTGGTTTTAGGTGAATTTTGTAATGATGTAATCCCACCAAAATTCAACAGTCTGTTGTATAGCCTGAAGTAAATGATCATGTGGTCAGCAGGACAATATAATTATTTGTTTCTATAAGTTACATATGAAATGTCTTTTATATCAACATTCAACTATTGCACCATTTTCAACTTTCTGCAGTGTTCCTTTTCTTTGTTCAACACAGCACATTAAAACAAAACATTTTTCCACTTTATTCATATCAGTGTGACTTGCCATTAACAACAATCTGCCTGAGGGGTTCTCTGTTTTGAACTGCAAAATGTTTGGAAGATAAATGCAGCAATAGAAATACAATTTGTTATTGATCTGTTCCTGTGTAATCCTGCATGATGTTTACTTAAGTGTTGGAAACTGTTTCACCTTGTATCCTCCTTAGACAAATGAACTACACAGAACTACACTGATACGGTTGATGCCAGGACTATTTGGTAGACTCTAACACCTATTTCTTTCCAAATATGCTGATAGTACAATAAAAGTAAAATGGTACATACCAGTATTCTACAGGATATAATAAGTTAATTTGTCATTACTGTCAGTGTTTGTCATTCTCTCTGCTTTGACATAGCATCAATCTATTTAGCTGTTTCTGAAACTCCATTTCTGGTTTTCTATAACTCATTGCAAGGAAGAGTTTTAATCACCACCAGTTCAAACAAGATAGCTTTTCCATTTATTCTGGTCCTTTCCACATCTTGGTGTTTACTTCTTGACAGTATTTTGATCTTTAAAATTTTAAAAAAAAATAAAAAATAAAAAAAAAATTTAAAAAAAATCGGTGCACTAAGCTAAGAGCTCCTGCATTGGACATTGTCACTGGCAACACCTTTTAAAAACATATATCCAAGAGTAGATTTTTTATCACAAAAATTTCTTTAGATAAGCATCTCTATTAATTAAATGGTCAAAGCATTGAAACATCCTCCAAAATCTTTGCTTTATTGTTTCCAAGAATTTTTGAATCATTCCTTTTGATAAATTAACTGTAATGATGGCTTGAGAACATCACTCACTGATAAGGGAAAATTATTGGTCTTTGCAGTTTTTTCCTGAGCCCTTCTCAAGGTTCTTATATGTCAGCAATTTTTCTGAATTCTAATTTCTCTAAAGAATTTGTTTCTTTCTGGTGTCTTGAGTCACCAGTTTTGTGCATGTAACTGTGTGAAACCTTAGAGAAAGCAAAGGGAAAGAAAGAGGAAGGCCCTCATATTTTAGCACTTTTCCATTGGATCTCTCTTCTGCTACGGAGGAGGATACTTTTATCACCCACTGCTGCTGCTTTGTGCTGCAGCTTCTCTGTTGCTTGTACAAGAAGAAGGTGGAGAAAGATATGAAAGTGAAGGGAGGACACCAGGCAAGGGAAGTGGCATCCTCCAGTGTGGGGCTGGGGACTTCTGCTCTCAGTGGGGAAGGGAAGGAGGATCTTGCATTGCCTAGCTAGTCCAAGTCAGCAACTATAGCAGGGGAGTACAACCTACATTGGTGCCTTTTGACCTCAGCAAGCTCTATGAACTGCCAGTCCTGATGCTGTAAAATCACACAAATATGGTTGAACTATATCTGTGCAGCCAACTGGGTGAAAAGCTAATATTTAAAACTATGGAACTGCAATCAGCACAAACTACCCAGGGGGAGAACCATTCAACTCCATCAGGTACGTGTGTGTATGTTATTATATCACCCTGAACTTCCTGAGTTTTCATAATGCTAAAAATCTTTTCCCAGCTTGGTATGGAAAAGATCCACAAACTTTGCCCTGCCAATAACTTTACAAGCAGGGTCAGATCTGTGAAAGCATGGGTTTATGTGACAAGTTAATTCAGCATAGAAGTTTATGGTTTCCTTTTTAAGGAACAATTGCTGGCATCCAGTAGATGGTGATGTTTAATAATGTATTTCCTGCTCTGTCTCCAGCTGCTAAAGCCAGATCTGTCTCTCTGTCTCTTTATGTTTGGGTATTTTACTTACTGCCTGTTCCTATGTTCTTTAAATGAAAACCCATTCTGTTTTGTATAGAAAAATATTCTATTTTTCTTCCCAAAAACAAACTTGAAAATAAATAAACCATATATTACACTAACCCCTTCACAGTTCACATGTCTCAATCCTCTACAAACCCAGGGAGACTCTACGCTCTGTAGGTAGTCAAGGTAAACTGTATAGTTCTGACCTTATGTAGCTGCATGTAAGCAAAAAATCTCAGTGCTTACCTCTCCATGTCTCTTCAGTAAATGTTAAGCAGCTGTCTCAAGTTATTTATCTTGATTTTGAAATACCATTTTTCAGTATGTATTCTTTTTTCCCGTGCCAAATTGGGAGAAAATGTTTGTATTCATATAAGTACATGCTCCTACAAGCTTACAGAGTGAACAGCCACTTCACCATTCATGTATTTGCACTGTGCTTTGGTGGGCACATTCAGGAAAAAAAAATATTAAGGAGGCCAGCAGAGTTTTTCATTCAGCAGCTATTCAAACATCTTGTGTTCCTCTATGAATGATCCAGCTCTATCAGCTGATAGAGCTGAGCTTAGAGGATATGTTCACCCTTAAAGAAGTGATTTTGAGAGTTTCTTCAGATACTCCGAACAACTCTATTAGCAGCACTTCTTGTATAACTAACCTATCTGCAAACAACTTCTAAACAGGTGTTAACAGAAGCAAGCCACTAAAGTCAAGGGACTATTCTCTCTATGCAAAGCTGAGTCCCCAAGGTTCTACCACCAGCTGGGTGCAGCTCGGTAAACTGTTACATTCACATTCAGCTCACCACTTCTCAAAACAAGTTTCTTCCCCTCTGTGTCTCTGTCCACCCTGTTCCTAGCAGCACACTCCCTCTGCTAGCATTCAGCACTTGTAGACACTTCTGTGTCAGTTTAATTTACTAAAGTAAGAGAAAACAAGGCCAAGAGGAAGTAATGAAGGGCTTTCTGATATTTCAAATAATTTAATTAGCCCAGAAGTGTGATCATAGCCAGAATGTAGGTGGATGGTACCACTGGGATTGAGAGAAAGGTAGGGAGGATGGTGAGGATAGAGGAAAGAGAGGATATATAAGAATGGAG